GTAGCAACGCAGGATTCCAATGTACTATTTCCTTCAAAGGCCTTGTATGTCCATGTATTTCAGCAATATATGTTTAATATGAACCCCTTTCTCTCTGGAAACTTAAATTCAATCATTTACGTAATTTTTTACAGCGTCGAAAATTTTGAGAGGAAAAAAAACACAGAGAGAACTTTTATTAAGAATTATTATTAAAATATCATGTATTTTTGAACAGTCATTTAATTTTGAAAAAGTACGTTTTAAAATCGAATTAAAACAATAAAAATAATAAAGGAATTTCAGTCTATAATAAAACGTTAACCCTCCTGGTAGTTGGCCGCAGTACACAACTTGTAGATTTCCTCCTGCAGAGGGCACATGACAGCTTAAGAATAATAGTAAGCCTGTTGTCCACGTGGGGGTGCAGAGAGAAAGCATCTTTCTGAGTACAAGCGTTCTTACTTACTCAGTAAATTTATCGTCATATTCCCCGAAGATATGAAGTCAAAAGGCCTTCATAGATCGGTACTTAAAGAATTTATCTGATAATATGGTCAATAAAAGTCTGAATTTCTTTATCACGGACTATTTTTGACGTATTTAGATTCCTAGCAATTTCTATCATGAATTAAAATGCAGTTATTCAAATGAAATTTGAATTATTTTGTGTAGTCTGCGATTATATTATAGTTAATATTAGTATTCACTAATTCTCGAATATGGGGCTAATGGCTTCAAAATAGGGGTATTTCGCGTCAGGTTAGTTAGTTAAGCGTCAGGTTAGCCTCTGCATAATCAGAGAAACAAAAGGAATAAAAGTAACGTAATCCCCTTTGGACGTAATTTAAAATCTGAAACCTTTCAGATTTAACATTACGTCCAAAGGGGCGTTTTTTCTAACGTTTTGTGTGTTACTTTTATTTATTAAATATCATGTTCTTTGCACTTAAACGATAAAATTCAGTTCAACAGCAGTGTCGCAAAATGATTTTTAAATGAGCATATCTTTAGCATTTCCGATACACCGTTTCGCGCGCTGGAGGTAAAAGGTTTTTTTTTTTTTTTCCGTAGACTGTTGCCATTGCTCGTTTTTAAATCGTTGAGTTTGTCAATCAAAAATTCGTTAAAAGTGTTACAAAATATTAAATCTATAATAAAACAAATTCCAAATTAGAGCTTTCAAATGCCTATATTCGGTGGAGGATTAAGTTATTCAAAATGTGATGGCTCTAGGCACTGTTGTTTTATCACATTGCGAGAAACATACATACATTGATGCAGATTCGCCATTATTTAATTTCTTTAAGTGTAACACAGGGCGATAATATTGATGGCAAGAATTTGAAAAATGAAACTGACATTTAAAGTTTTTGACGCAAAATGCGAAAACGAAAATAATAGCCCTTCTGGGCTACCGCCCTCTGAGCTAAAAAAAGCATAAATTGCATACACGCACTGAGCGAATGCGCCCATCAATGTTCCATTATTTCTTCTCAAATTCTTTTCGATTTTTCTATATTTCTTCAAAATTAGTGCAATATTTAAATCGTTGTTTTCTTGGAAATCATTCCTGGTGTCATTAAAAAGGTCTACGGGTCTTTACCTATCTCGTTGTAATTGCTATAGTGGTCGGAATCTTGTAATCTCTTAAGATAAAAGGAAGGTTTGCCGTGACTCGTTAAAAATTTGGTTGAAGTCAAGGTTTTCTTTTTTGTTTTGATATGTTTCATGTAACCCTTGTTCCTTTCCAAGGCGCAAGGCGGTCCATTTTTCCATCCATATTAAAAAAAAAAAAATTCTAGAATCACAGCCTTTCTCCTCGACTCCTGTAACTTAACAGACTCTATTTCGTTTTGAACTGTTGCGTTTTTAGCCAGCGCGTAGACCCTCTCATTTCCCAAAAAACCCGGTGAGCCTGCACCCAATTCAAGATAATATGTTATTATGTTTCTGCGAGCGTGTATCTTGTTCGTGTATGCAAACTCATTTTTGAGTTACATTTATGTGTTAGTTGAATTTTTGATGTTGGAAAATGTTTTCTTACCTTTGAAAGACTTTATGATGATATACACTGGCTATCATTAGAAGGAAAAATCACAAAAATGACGATTACTCAAGAAGGTACATGTAAAACTTAATGAAACTGAACCGCAGCACTTAGTAAGGTATAAAATTACATGAAAAGAAATTACTAGACAATTATGGTGTTATAAAAATTAGCTCATGTATAAAATGAACAAATCCAATGTACCAATTTGGTATAGGAAAATCACCTTCAATATGACGTTTGCTCTCCCCTAGAAGCAATACAGCGATGTACGATGCTGTCAATTATACGATCGATCAGTTTCTTAGGAAGCAAGAGCCATTGCTATTGCAAAGCACATTCAAGCGTGGTAAGGGTCTGAAGAGGAGGATTAAAAGCAGCTTACGTCTTCATAAAGCATCCCAAAAATGCTCGATAGGTTTCAGGTCCGGTGGTCGAGCTGGCCACTTCATGCGCTGAATTGTTTGTTTGCTGAAGGTAACCATCCACGATACGAGCCCTGTGAAATCTAGTGTCATTGTCCTATAGCAGAAAATCATCACCTATTTCCTCGGCGTAAAAGCGCATATAGGCATCAAGAATGTCATTTCTACAGTCCTGAGCATTCACGGTTTCACGTGAAAAGACATGAAGGTGTCTGTGCGTCCACCCAAAGAGATACTACCTCAAACACAGACACTGCCTCCTCCGTATGCATCTCTTTCACGAATGTTTGATAACTGGTTCCAGGTCCTCTCCAAATCACATAACGCCTATTTTCGCCTTGGAGGCTAAATCTAGACTCATCTATAAAGAGAGAAACCCTCCACTGATCAGCCGTCCAGAGGATATGTTGACTTTCCCTTCTATGACGTTAAGTGAGCGGTACGCAAATGGCTGGTAGCCTCGCGTACAAACTTCCTTCGTAAAGCTTTCTACGTACAGTTGACGTTGACAGCAACTTTCTAGTAGCTGCTGCAAGGGAGGATCTGAGGTGAGTCGGAAATGCGATTCCATTCCTTCGTGCGCATAACACCAAATATCGGTCATCGGCGCTCGTCGTAGCGGTTGGCCGTCCTCGGCTGAACCTCTTGGATGCCGAATCTATAGTTAGAAATTGTTGCCAATGTCTATGAACCACAGAAAGACTCACATTTATCCATTTGGCTACTTCTGTCTTTGTTCTGCCTGTAGTCACCCAATAGCTCTCCATCGCAGATCTTCGGTCAAATGATGGCTGGAGGTCATTGTTACGAATTGGCTACCCCAGATTTATTATCTGGGTATCACAGCGAAATTTACAGGCTTTCTCTCAAACATGCAATTTTATGCTCCTTGTAGATAATGCATTCCGATTGCACCGCCACTAATTTGTATACTGCAGTTGTACACATAATATTTTGTCAACTCTTATTTGGCAATGTATTAAAATCTTATACGGATTGGCTTTTTTTTCCGACGAGTTATCATTATTTTTACAATTTTTCATTAATTTTTGGTAACCAGTATACACTGAAGTGACAAAAGTCATGGGATAGCAATATGCAAATATACAGATGACAGTAGTATCGCGTAGAAAATGTATAAATGCGAAGTGCTTTGGCAGGGCTTTCATTTGTGTTCAAGTTATTCATGTGAAGAGGCTTTGACGTGATTATGGCCGCACGACGAGAATTAACAGACTTTGAACGCGGAATGGTAGTTGAAGCTAGACGTATGGGTCATTCCATTTCGGATATCGTTAGGGAATTCAACATTCCGAGATCCACAGTGTCAAGAGTGTGCCGAGAGTATCTAATTTCAGGCATAACATCCCACCATGGACAGCGCAGTGGCCGATCACCTGCACTTAACGACCGACACTAGCGAAGTCTGCGTAGAGTTGTCAGTGTTCACAGACAAGCAACACTGCGTCAAATAACCGCAGAAATCAATGTGGGACGTACGAGGGACGTGTCCGATAGGACAGTGCGGCGAAATTTGTCTTCCTTGGGCTATGCTAGCAGAAGACCGACTCGAGTGCCTTTACTGACAGCACGACATCGCCTGCAGTGACTCTCGTGTGCTCGTGAGCATATTGGTTGGTCCCTAAACGAATGGAAAACCGTGGCTTGGTCAGATGAGTCACGATTTCAGTTGGTAAGAGCTGATGGTAGGGTTCGAGTGTGGCGCAGACCCCACAAAGCCATGGACCCAAGTTGTCAACAAGGCACTGTTCAAGCTGGTGGTGGTTCCATAATGGTCTGGGCTGTTTTTACATGGCATGTACTCGGTCCTCTGGTGCAACTGAACCGATCATTGACTGGAAATGGATACCTTCAGATACTTGGAGATCACTTACAGCCATTCATGGACTTACGTACTCAAACAACGATGGGATTTTTATGGATGTCAATGCGCCATGTCACCGGGCCACAATTGTTCGCGATTGGTTAGAATAACATTCTGCACAATTCCAGCAAATGATCTAGCCACCTAGAACGCCCGACATGAATCCCATCGAACATTTATGGGACATCGTCGAGAGGTCAGTTCGTGCCCCAAACCCTGCACCGTCAACACTTTTTCAATTATGGACGTCTATAGAGGCAGCATGGCTCAATATTCCTGCAGGGGACTTCCAACGACTTGTTGAGTCCATGCCACGTCGAGTTGCTGCACTTCGCCGGGCAAAAGGAGGACCGACAAAATATTAGGAGGTATCCCATGACTTTTGTCACTTCAGTGTAGATATCACATTAACATTAGCAATATTTTATTATGAACGCTGTTCTGAAATTTCATAATTATTTATTTATTTTTAATGCCATTTATAATAGCTTCAGCTCTGCCTCCTTTCGTTAAAAATTAACCCAAGGAGTTCAAATATAATAGGTAGTTTGTAACTCCTTTTTTATTTATAATATTGATTTTAGTGTAAAGTTTAGTTTGGTACTTCGAAAAGCTGGGAAAATATCCTGTTTCGATATAAATAAATTGATTGGGTGATTTACAGAGATAATGTAGTTTAATTTTTTTTAAAAAAAGATTAACTTACTGATTGGTACTTGAATATTCTCAGCAAAAGGAATAATGTCACTCTTGTCTTCCCATTCCTAGTCAAAATGTACGAAAATTCTCTTAATTTTTATGAATGAATATAAATTAGTGTGTAACAAACATTAAAGTAGGATATTCACGGTATGAGTACCAAAATATTGTCAGATGGTTTATTTAGTAACTCTAGTAATAAAATTCCTATTAACTTTTATCCTTATTGGCAGCTTACATTTCATAAAAAAAAATTACAGATATAAACATTTATTTTATTTTCACGTATTTTATGCATTTTAAGCACATAAACTTTTCACACATCAGCTTAAAATTAATAAAAAATATATGTGCATTGTCATCAAATTACCTACCTTTATATTCAAATGTGTAGCTGGAGTAATAAGCACGTGCTTAGGGTATCAAGGACAGGAGTATCAGAAAAAGATAGTTAGGGAATCAAGGAAAGAACACACCACAAGAAGTTCCCTTGTCGATTTTTGCTTAAAACGTATAGTGCAGCTAAATAAGATCGGTAATGAAGGAATGGGGAAAAAACTGTAGTAAATGTGTGTAACTGCACCAAAATCTTTTAAAAGTTTAGGTGTTTTAAAAGTCTTAATAAACCCCTGGTGTATATGTTGTACTGACTGCATTTTATTCATTTATTTATTCCTCCCCCTCCAAATATAAGTATTTCATAAGCAAAACGGTTTCTTTACGTATTAGGGCCAATTAGCCATCTATTTTAAAAGGAAAGAGAAGGAAAACAAACTGACAAGGTCTAACACTTCCTACTTGATATTAAGAAGTAAATTTTAAATCTCCATATTTTATTGATATTATTGAGACACATTTAAAAATGGTGAACCTGCGGGCCATATATGTTTCAACATACAAGAAAAAGTTAAACGTTTGTAACTCGATCGAACTGCCTGTAATATTGATCAACCCGATAATTTACCTTATTAAAAATTTTAATAACGAATTTTGATAAAAGGTCACAGTTCGGCAAAAAAAAAATCTTTCTGAAGTGGTGTTGTTAATGAGAAAGTATCGACCTGATAATATTATATATTAATTAATGACATTTTGTTATATTATTGTTATAACTATTGTATTAATTGATAACATTTTGTCTAAATTTAACTCTTTTTAAACAGATGGAAATCTCACAAAATCTTTTACAGTTAAAACGTATATACAGTGTTCTTAATAAATAAAAATATATTTGCATGAATTTTCATTTTTCATTAATCTAGGAATAAATTTGATACAATAAACTCACCTTGTCATCAGGCTCCAGATTTAATGTTGTAACAGAAATGACATCGTGATTATCTGCAAATAAGAACAAGAACATTTATAGTTTAAGTTGTGCTTAATAGATCAATTAATCGATTTACGGCAAATATTTTATTATCGATCTTTAAAATTTCGGTATGTCTTCCTGACATCATTTAAATGATTTTACATGTGACCGTATCATTGAAATGATCAAAGAAGGGCGAAAATAACAAATGCCGCCAAGGAGTTCAACATCGTCCACAGAGTTATTTTACTGTTCTGTAATATATTTAAAACAAATGGAATGGGTAACCAACGTTACAGGAAAGGTTGTGTTACAAGTAAGACGCTGCAAGAGTCAAATACATTGCATAAAAAAATCGGGCATAAAGAAGGGGGCACCACAGCGCAGCAGTTGCGGAAGGTGTTCCCTGGTGTCGCAGGACAACGCATTTCCCAAAAAACTGTAGCCAGACATTTGGGAGAAAGAGGACTATACACTCGCAGACCTGTTGTGTGTCCCATCGTCCAAATAGCGCCATACTGCCCCTTTGCAATGGTGTCGCGACCATCGCAGTTGGATTGACCAAGACTCGACTTACATACTATTTTCAGAAAAGAGTTAGGCATCGGATTGTGCACGCTAATTGATTTGTCATAATAGTAGTATCGTTTATCGTCCAGAAAGTATGCAGGAAAGGGACTGATTTGCAATATTATAGTACGGCCCGGGATCATGATTAATGCCCGCATGCCCCTACATGTAGTTACAGTTGGGACGGAAAAGAGTTTACAGTTGTTACAGTTGCTACGTGTAGTTACAGTTGGAAAAGAGTGGGATCATAAAGTGCTGAATAATATTGTACAAAATATGCGTGCCATGTGGAAAGTTGCATCACAATCCACAGCAGACATATTCCGTACTAACACCTTTCTCAAAGGTTTCTGCCGTCGTTCATATACATCTTTTCATTCTTCCATACATAACATCAAAATAACACTTTTCTACTTTTGAATGTTTCAAAATTTTCTGTATTTTCCTGGACAATAAATGTCCTTTTATTCTAATATTTTAACTATTTTATTATGCTTCTAACTCCACTTAATATTATACTGCCTTACAATTTGCGATCCATCTTAGCAATTGTCTAGCAGTGTAATTTGAGATGTACTGCTATAGAGTACAGGCCTGTATTAAACCATGATTTTCGATTTTACGCTTCATATTAAAATATTTTAAATGAAACGATAAAAACCTTGAATAGCAAGTAGCCCAAACGGATGTATTCTTTCTTATTTTAATCCTTGTTCTACATATAATATTACAGTGATATGTGTGTGGAGGGGGACGACAAGCCGAGGCTTGGCTTTACCTTAGGGATCGATTTGTACTTTTGCTGCCCCTTTTGGGTTCAACAATCACCGGGTCCTAGAACTGTCATATGTAGTACAATCTCTATTAATATGCAAAGAGCTTAAGATGATATTGATAGTCTTCTTATAACTGAAAATCATTAAAGCTATTTTATAGAGAGATGAATCAAGAAATACGTTAACTGCAGCATCTCGTTTATCATTGAAGCACTGGCTATTTTGATATTTAATATCCATGTCATGTTTGTTGAAATACTAAATATGCATATATTTAGCTTTAATTAGAGAAAAACAAATACTTTTTACCTGAGAGTTCTTTTGTGCTGGCTGAGATTCCATAATAATATCCTGTTGGAAGGTAGACTCCTAAAGCTCTAAAGCATGGTTTCCATTGCGCCCGTCCTTCTGTATCCAAGAAGACCTAAACGAAACATTTAAGTAAGAACCTACGACCCTTGGTTTTTGCGTTTTTATTTAGAAATGCCGCAGTTTGGATTATTTGTGTAATACTGTATTTTTTCAAACGTATATGAATTTCAATATGGTATAGTTTTTATAGACTTATACCATGTTCATTTATAGTAAGTTTCAAATTATGCGTCGATTTATTAAAAACTTATCTATCTTAAAAACTATTCTATGCGTCGATTTATTAAAAAAGGCAATCCGTATTCACTTTACTTTTACTTAAAAATCGATGCAATTTTATGTGTTGTATATTTTATGTGCAGATGAGAAAGATGGAGTATCTTACTTCCTTAGCATTTGAAATCAAGAGAATACTATCAAAATTACGTTTAACACACTTATACAAAAATTTCTATTTTCGGACAAGAATAAGTTCCTTTGTTTATCGATACCATTTTTTAAAAAGAATTTAAACTGTTTTTAAAACATCTGGAGAAGCAGGTTCTAAATCAAGCATACTAAAATGCAGACTTCATTTTTTTTTTTTTTTTATGCAGGAGATATTACTGTAATTTCTGAACAAATTTAGAGTAAAATTTATTTATTTTATTAAAAGGAATTTTATAACTATATACCAGGTAGAAATGTTATTTATTTTATTAATAATGAGCAGTTTTTCTGTTGATAATTTTTGCTTCCATTATTCTGCCGTTTATGTTATTATTAAGTAACATAGATTAAGGTATGTCTTCAGAAACCAATCTGCTTATCAGAATTCAAAATCCTCATATTTGTTCAACAGTTTCACAAAAATATGAAAAAGGGTTACAAGCATCGTCATTTTTTAATTTTAGTTAAGCAGTTCCTTTCTGTATGTATGCAATATTTTTTCCTCCTATTTTTAGTCCTTTTATTGAAAGTTTTTATTAGCATTTAATAATCAGTAAGAAAAGTATGTAAGGTATTTCTCCCGCCTTCTTAGCGTGCCTTCATGATGTAGTGGTCTGCATGCTGGGCGCGTATTCTAGAGGCCCGTGGTTCGATTCCCGGAGAAGGCTTTGCTCATTTTTTACTTCTCCTGCTTCCGAAATAACCTAATAGTCTCTACAAGTATTTATTTAAATTTATTTTAAAGAAAGTGCTATTAAATTGTGACAATTACGTTAATTTCCTAACAGTTAAATTTCATTTTTATATTTTCCTACTCTTTTCTTGGTTATCGTCGCGATAGCTCTTCCACTTGGAAAACTTTATGCAAATCTCATTTACTCTAGAACAGTGGTGACAAACTGACTGCCCGCGGGCCGCATGCGGTTCGCAAGCATTTTTATGCGGTCCGCGAAAACATTTCAATTATATGTTTGTTGAAAGTACTGTGTTACAAAGACTTCGAGATTTTAGTTATTTTCAATTCTAGTTTACATTATTTTAATTAAACGAACTTCAGTAATGCACCAGAAAAATCTATAAATGGAACTAATTAATTTACAGTGTTTTATACAAAAACCTGAAGATTTTATTAACTTTCATTCGTATTTATCAAAAAAATAAATAAGCTCAGCTACGAATATTTGCATTAAGAATAATCACTTTGTTTGGAAATATATTTATATCTGAAGACCTTTTTTTTCACAGTTAAAAATTAATAAGTAAAGAATACGATTGATCGATACCGTGCTTAGTAATTTCTCTGCAAGGCTACAAAAAAATGCCATCAACAAAATTGTATTGCAGATACCAAAATTAAGATTTCAGATAGGTAATAAATTTAAATTTGAATTTTTGCCTTTTGAGATATTATTATTATTATTTATGTATGTTTTGAAAAATATTTAGTAAGCGAAAGTTAAAATTTACGACTCGTCAGCTGTTTTTCAAGATCGTATATTTGGCCCGCATGCAGTGTGAGTTTCAGACCATTGCTCTAGAGTAAGTTTAATTACTATAGACTTTTAATTAGCGACGTAAACATAGTAAGTTCTTGCTAAGTGCTCGTCGTTTCGGTAAGTTAGTCCTGCATTTGTTCACTAGCCTTGGTTTGAGAGCCTTTAAGCAGTCAGTGAAAGATGAACTTAAAATCGCTGTACTTATTAAAATTCAAAACAAATGGTCAAAGAGTGACATTATTGCAGTTTTTAATAGAACTTAATTCTGATGTTTTACTGCCTGTAAGTTTGACAATACATATATTTTGTAAGCTAAATAACTGAAAAATATTTTTTGTATGCAAGATTCACGCAGGTACAACTTTTGTTGGGCGAAATAGTATTTTGACCATTTCGTTTTTAAAAATTAGAATATTTGAAGTGTTAATCAGACGTACTAACATATTAAAGCACATAAATATACTAACTGTGAGTATGTTAGACATATACGATACAGCAATTTTTGTGGGATTTTCCAGATTTCGAAGTGGAACGTGACAACCACCAATTTGGCCTTGTGTTCCATCTTCATCATGCTTGTATGATATCGAACCGTTATTCACCACTGCAGAAATGTAAGGATGTCGATGCTGAAATTAAAAATATATAATTGCATTATAGCATTGTCTCAATAAAATGATTATTGTATTATGTCGTGGAAACATTTTAAGTAAAATTGTTGCATACACAGGAGAAAGCAAATTAGACATCTGTAGCCGTTATAATTAGTGTAATTACTTCACAGAGCATATGCTTAAGGTTATCAGAATTTGATTTAAACGATTCTACATTATATAAAATAACATATGTTCGCTTTCGTTCTGAACGAGCATTTGAATTTGAAATATCTGCGCTAGTAAGATCATTAATTAAGAAAGTCGAATTAAGTGAGTGGCAAAAGTTCTGTCGTAAGAACTTTGACTGTTGGATTAATTCGGAAATTCTATCTGTCAAATTAAGTGACTGGCAAAAGATATATTCGTCCTTGGCATCAAGACAGTTCCAAACACGCGTTGCAGTCGTCGAAAAACTACGACAACACGCTAAAACAATCAGCAACACAGCCTTCCAGCCATCAGGCTATAACGGTGAAGACAGCTTCACGGCAAAACACTAAATCCAGCTCTCAACTCGGTCGATCCCTCGCAGACCTCAACACTCTCACGATACACACGACGATGCACTGCTACTCCGCGTACAGGCAGGGTTTATGTAGCTTTTCGCACCAAATCTGGCAACCGTGCCTTTCCTTGCTATTTTCTAATAACCCTAAACCCGCTTTGCGGGGAAGCTGTTTCGCAGCTGGGCATTTCATAACATCAAGAAAACGGTGAAGTTTTCAAGCTTTATTCATGGCTTTACAACTGTTAGCCAAAACATAGTTTAGAGTGTATATAAATCAAACTCAATTGAAAATAATAATGGAGAAACTTATGAACGGAAAACAATTTCGAGAAATCCTGACCGGAGATCTCACATAAAACAAGCATTCCCCCAGCCAGTTAATAATGGACCGAGCTTTAACATATAAATATTTAGAGAAAAGTCGCAATACGGAAAAGAATTTCAATTTAATTTCATAAAAAAATTCATTTAGCTTGGGACAAAACTCGCAAAACAGAGCCTGCTGATCAGTGGAAGTTTGGCTTATCATCTGATAAGTCCAAATTTTTCCTCAACTAATAGAAATGATATAAGGCACAGAGTCAACAAAAGCATGCAAACTTGCGTACATTCGTAGTTCTAAAAGAGATTGGACTAAAATGTTGTCGGAAATTTTAACGGCTAACAAATTAGGCTCACTGTTTGACGTAGAATCTAGGTGGTATAAAGAAAATGCAGACAATCATAATGAAGACATTCCTTTTAGGCAATAGTTGCAGCATTCTCTCAAAGCAATATATATATTTTGCTGAAATTATAGAGGTAGAACCATTATGAGCTAATGTGACTAATATAGAGCATAACATAACTTTGTTACTGATCAAAAGGCTTGCCTTTCGATAATATATCGGACCGCCTTGAACAAAATGTAAAAACCAAGATGACGTATCTCAGATATAAATAAATTGGAAAGGATAAAGTGTTTTTTATAACGGTAAATATTGATCCTAGGTATTTAAATACCCTTGTGTATAAGTGAGCATGCATGTCTTTCCATCAAAGATCAATGCTGTGGTTTATGTATTATTAATGATTATGATGAAAATGTCTGGTGTCTGTAATTATAAATACGATTTTAAAGGCAAAAAAAATATTAAAGAGAAAGATTTTATTTTTCTCTAAGGTAAATTATTTACTCTGAAAGTTTACAAGTTTACTTGTATATTTATGTCAGTATACTAATTTCCTTTTGTAAACTTACTGATTACAGTTTAAGCGGTAGAGACTTGAATTCTCGAAGGGACGATAGAAACTACCAAAAATAAAGGCCGGAAAAATACCAAATTTCAAATATTCATTTAAGGTTAAATAATGTTTTTATTATGAATAGAAGAATTATTATTCGAATTTTGATATGTAGAACGTTTCAATAAGTTGAATTTAATATTGGCATGTAGAATTCAAAATTAATATTGTTTTTATCGCTAAGGCAAAATTTCCTATTAAATGATTTTTTCTTTTAATAATGGTTTATGGATGTTCAATAATGCACTAAAGGCATGAAAATCGTCATTTATAAACAAGTGGCACATATCTGAAGCTCAAAAAATACATTTTGTAAAAAGGGAAAAATGAAATAATTTGAAAAACGGGTTATTTATTATACTAAGATATTTGTTATACTAATATATTTGCTATTTTCTTATACCAGGAATTTGTAATTAAATTAAAATCAAGTTTTCTTTTTCTAAGCCCAATAACTACATTATCAATACAGTCATCACAGTTACTAGTTTATATTGCATGTAAACTTTGATATCACTTTCCCTTTAACGGAAATTTCTTGAAAAGTATATTATTTATTTAAAATTTCTTATAATTGTAAAAATTAGACTATAATATTTTGTTTATGACTACGATTAACACCAAAAGAACATTAACATAAATGTGCAGTGTTTCGGGTCACAGAATTTAGGAAGACATAATCAAGTACCATTATGTACGTATGTATGTAAACTGAAATCTGAAATGTTGAAATCGATCAATCATAGGAAGCTGCAAAATTGCAAAAGGTTTAATAGCATCTTTTCTCGTAAAATTTTAAAATAATTAATTTATTTTACATGCCATTCATATGAAGTATTTATTTTTTATAATAAAAAAAATTAAGCAAAGTGAAAGAATTCTGAAAATTTTTAAATTGTAAAAATCGATAAATTCATTTCCAGATATCAGCTTTGTAAATAATTTTTTTTGTCTTAATTTAGATTTTCTGATTAGAGCTATTATTAATTAAGTGTACAGTTAAACTTATAGTTTTATAAACTGAACAACAGTATTTCTGTTCGAATTGAAATACTGAAATGGATTTGTTAGCATTTTTTAAATCTTTATTGTTCATAATTCAATTTCACATAATGCAAATATAGTTGCGAATTTTCTTCACTGATGCTCTAACTGTAGACAGTTGTAATAAAAAGTTTTCCCACCTTTTTTTTTTTTTTTTTAAATTTTATTTATATTTTTTTAGTAAAAAACTAGTTCAAGAAATATCAAATATCTATAAATGATCTTATATAATTTTAATCTGATTTTAATCCATTAAAAATATGCAAAATTATTTATAGATCTTTGACAGTCTCATCTATGATCCTGTAAGAGTAAAGCAAGAAAAATAATATTTTCAAATGTCGAAATCCCAAGTTTCATTTTACAAAACGAAACATAGCATTTGGTTTTATTTCCGCGTATGATGTTTTGATACGCTGTTGCATATTTTTTTTTAATCTTCACATGATTATTATCAGATTCCAGTGCAAGTTTTGGCTCATCTGTGAAAATTGAGTTGGATCCGGTTTTGTCAGTTGGTTCCAGTTGGTGAGTTGGATTCTGCTCTCCGGTTCGCATGTTAACGACTCCAATTCAAACACGCTTCTTTGCCTTTGACGTATTAAACACAAATCATAGTAGCCTAGGCATGGTAGCTTTGAACACAAATCATGGTAGCCTAGGCATATAATCCTTTCATATGTAATCCTCGTCGTACAATATTGGCAAATATTGACCTTAACAATTTTATTAGTAATCATTACTGTCAGAGTTGGTATGATTGATCTTCGATTGCGCTTACCGAATAAAGCCGTATTCTTATCAGCAGTGGGTGTGAAAACCCTAGGACGACCGCAATGGAGTTTTCTGATCTGTTTTACTCGTTTGAATCTCTTTCTAAAGCCAGGAAATTTCAAAATGGTAAATTCAAAAGAAAAAAAAAGGGGGGATTGGCAGACTGTCATGCTTCAAGCCAGCCTATGTATAGCACTTCAGCAAGAAGAATTATGTCGTCGTCTTCTTTGAATCCTAACTGCTCTTATCTTATTTAATAATAATAATAATAATATAGAATTATCTTTTAAAGTTTCCTTTATCGCCACTTAAAATCATTTACTCAAAGGCTTCATAGAAACATTATTTACAATGTATAGGTAATTTGAAAATCCGCGGAAAGTGAATTTTAATTCGTCACATCAAATAATCTCTCTTGCACACTCCTTCTACATCTGCAGTGAGTTTAACTGAATGAAACTGACGTATGGGTTTCGAAGCGAATATTGATATGTGATGATGCTTGTTTACAAAATGCTAAATTAAAAGCGATCTCATAGAATGTACCGTACATGTTCATTGACTTACAATCAAGGCTGGCGCTAAGCATTTTGCCTCCCGATGCAATCTTTGTCGGACCTCAATCCTGTTGCCCGGCACTTCTCTAAATTCTAAAAATTTTGCCGCCTTTAATTCTGCTGCCCAATGCCTTCTTGAAAGGAAAAAAAATTACCATCCATAAATTTTGATGTACGTTACTTATCTAAATTCTAAAAATATTGCCGCCTTATAATCTGCTGCCCAATGCCTTCTCGAAATGAAAATAAAAATTGCCATCCATAAATTTTGATGCACGTTACTTCTCTAAATTCTAAAAATATTGCCGCCCGGTGTGACCGCACCGGTTGCAAGGTTCTGGCGTCGACCCTGCTTACAGTAAATTATTTTTTGTATAAACCATCAACTGTGTCATATACATTCATCTAAATCAATTTAAAGCTTCTTAATGGTAAGAAAGATGGGAACAAGGGATCTTCCCGATCGTCAGGCTGTCAAGAGTTTACTCGAACCACTACACGGTTCAGGCCCTTTCCAATCATAGAAGGTTCCCCCAATATTTAGAAAAGGTTTCTACATTTACACGTCAAGTGCAGTTGTGGATCACCTGCCAGCACAGCAGATGCCGTCCATTACATCACTTCATGCCCACTCACCAAGTCGATTAGATCTCCAGCCAACACCGCCCTACTCCAAAAGTAAAGGTCTCAGAGGTTACCTAACGGATTTCTATGGTCTACAGGAAGTAGACAGATTGTTAGCTTCGTCAGTGATAACAAGACCATCATACAAGTCATACCATGTTAAAACCTGACGATATGTAAAAGGCAGCATGCCTTATATAAAGATGTAAATAACTCACTTTTTCATATATATATATATTCAAATTACCTAATTCAAACTTGTTTTCACTAATATAACTAACTATTCAGTGTACGTTGGAAAAACCAACATCAAATTGTATTTATAAATGTAATTTGTTTGTAATTAATTAATAACGAATAATGACCTGTAGTGCCCAATGAGAGGCGAGGCAGGCTAAGAATAAATATTATTATTATTATTAAAGCTTCTTAAAAATATATGTTAAACTATTTTGTCTTTTCGTACTATTTAAATCAATGAAAGAACATGTAAATAAATTAACAAAAAAATAATCTTTGTTGCTGTAAACGAAAAACAAACGATCCAGGTAACTGGAATTCTATTGTGTAAATCAGGATTCCCAACCTTTCTCTTGCATCGACCTCTTTTAAGTTCCATTTTTTTAAAGAAGTTCCCATGAGTTCCATTTTTAAAAGAATGGTTTTCTTCGCCGAGGCCTTACATTTTTCACAATAATTATAATGCAGATAATTGCTCATAAATGACTTAAAGATAAAAATTAGACTAAGAATATGAATGAAAATTTTGAAAAAAAATAGTTTATTCGATTTGTGTTTAATTATTTTTGGATTATTATTATTTTTAAATTTACAAATATAAACAAGCTTTAGGATACAAAATCAGGGTTTAAACAAAAGTTCGATTTAATTAATGTGATGTTTGCGCTTATGTCTTGATGTATTTTTTAAAAATATTTGGCATAAAATTTCGGAACTTAATTCTTAAGTCACTTGGTTCACAAATATTCAGCTCATTCTTGTTTTCAGTAGTAAATTATTGACATGACTAAAGCTTGCTTCTATTAGGTAAGAAGAAGGAAAATTTAATAACGTTGTTTGGTAAAAACTGTGATTTTTGGATACTTCTAGTGCATGACTTTTAAATTCCAAAACTTAATGTATATATATGTTTTGAATAAAACTTGTGCTTTAACATCCTTCTTCAATGCAATCAGCTTTTTCTTGCATCATATTATCGAGATCTACTGTATCGTAGGTCTATGAGCCATGCTAGCACGTTCAAATTTTCAGTGTCTTAAAAGCGAAGATTAAAAATCTTCTTTTTTTTTTTTAATTTGGCAAGTTGATGATATATAACAATATATCTTCTGAGGAAGTTTTGCGTTCTTCGTTCTTGTAATTTTTAATCTAAGATAATTAATTGAATAATTATTTGCAATTAAGTTTACTTTTTATTACAAATGGCGAAGGTATTTCAAGCATCGAAAGTCAACATTTCGATTTCTTTATAAAGAGATCTATATAAAAGCTTATATTTAGTTCATTAATGGTACTTCAATGTGGATGGAGTTTTGCCGTCGACTTACATACTTCCTGCTAAGCTATAATACTCAAATTTTGTGCACGCAATGTTTTGTCGATGACATACAATATGGCGGAGCGATTTTTTTCAAAAATTCGATTTAGGTTTTTTTTTTTTTTTTTAAATTTTTAGCTCCGAATCTCAAATTTGACAGGTTAAAGGAAATCCGTTTTCTTATTTGCAGCCAACAACACTATTGCTAATCTGGTTTGTTGCCTTATGCCAATTTTCAAGTTTTCTTTATAACGCAATGCAATTTGTTTTGGCTGACATGACAAGTCGAATGAAACTAACTTTAAAGATATTTTATTTAGGTTTAACAAAATCTACAGAACAGTACTGACCCCGTCAAGAACCCTTGGTGTAGATACTATAAGTAAAATACAAACAATAATAATATGCTAAAATATATTATTAGTTATTAAAAATATATTATTAGTTATTAAAATATATTATTAGTTAAGAAATTGTTTACTCACATTATGAGGAGTGGCTTCGTTTTGATAGGTATCTATGAATATTCCTAATCCATCAAAGTAATCCATGTATCCAAAAACCGGACCTGAAATATGATTTTTAATCATTACATGCCATTACGTACTTTTTGTAAGTTACAATTCTGTGGCAGAGAGAACTTGTGATTAGTGTGTGTTAGTGCATATCTTGAAGGTGAGTAATAATAATTAGATAATTTTGTACAAAATAACAATCATCTTTCCTTTTGCTTCATTGCAGAGTTAGATTTGATAATTTTTCTAAGTTTCCGCTACAGAATATTCTAGTTACTTTCATTCCATCGAATATGTCCACTGTGCCGAACACAGACCTCACATGTACAATCTAAAAAATCCTTATACCGAAACAAGCTTACGTTTGGACTTTCTTTTAGATTTTCTGCAAAGGTTTTCTCTTTGATTACCGGATATTCTCATTTATTACCATATACCAGCATGGTATTATTAATCTATGATCATTTCAAGCTTCAGAAATAAGGCAAACTAATATTTTAGTATTCTAGGTTCGGTAATGTTGTTTGTTTCAAATATGATTTAATTATGAACAGTTTACGAGCTAAAAGCCAAAATCATGAATATTATTACTGAGGGAATTATTAACTCAAATTAAGTTTAGCTTGAAGGAGAATCAATTTTCCGTGGCTACGTTGACTGATATATCTAATTAAAATAAGAATGACTATAATGAACCTCAGGTTGGCAATTTTTTTCTCGTGGTTTGTTATAAGAAAATTATCTCTGAACTTTTTTAAATGTAAATAAATAACATTAGGAATTTTATACAAATTGTTAAAATTATAAAAGATGACTATTATTCCCGCTTTGAATGTAATAAATGTGATCGATTATGAAAGTATGATTAAATATACATCTACACCAAGAAATAAATGGCAGCATAAATTGAGACAAATAACGATGACGGAAAAGGTAAAGTAAATATTTTATCATTAAAAAAAACGAACTGGAAAAAAAAAAAAAACTTTGACAAATAGTTGCTTCCGCGTACGATCAAAATGCTTACCTAAATGCAGTGGTTCCTTGGCATACCAAAGCGCCATGCCTTCTCCATTTAAATAGACACCCTTGCCATGAATGTGGAACTGTACTTGGAATTCCCAGTCAGAATTCAATACAGGCTGAAAGAAAGAAAATAGAGCCAATTTTTGCAGAAAATGTAACAAGTACTCCTTTAAAAACCCTTTCTCATTAACATCTGAGAATCTTATCAGTTGGTACTTCAGAATTACAGTGAATTGGCCTAAATTTTAATTGATAGTGATCCAGCAGACTTTCAACAGTTTAAAATCGCAGCATTTACAAATAGGTATGTGCGCAGTTCTATATATCTGTGTACATTGTAAGATCTAGTTTCTTGGCTAACATAAATTGCTACTAAACTTACTAGATTCTGTGCTTACAAATCCACCATCCACTTGTAGCGATAAAACTAAAGATAATGGTGGACCAAAGTAAATTTAAAGATAAGCTTCAGGATTCTAAAAATTAAGCTAACCTAGCAGATTTTCTGAGGAACCTACACCGGCGTGATATTAGACTTCGGCGGCAAGAATGTGAAGCCGAAATTCAGAATTCAAACGGCTGGCAGAAATAAAAACGTGCGCACTCAATAGCGAAATACACTCTTACTTAACCTTTTTGCTACTTCAATTTAAATACACTCTCGTTCACCCTAATTCATTACATCCTGGCGAGAAACAAGAAGGGACAGAAAAGGCTAACAAATTATAATAACTATTAGTAAAAATAATATACCTCTCACAGCATGATTTTGTATTCTGCAGAAATTATCTAATTGTTTGCTAAATTTAATCAACATGCATCAGATACAATAAAATGTCATGTAATATTAATATTACACGATATCCAATGAAGCAAATTACAAAGAGTGCCGGTTTCAGAGAATGCGAAGGCTATTAAGTGCACTTGTTGCGTTTTAACAGGATAATTTTTAAATGTAACAATTTTATATTTTCAAATGTTTTGCTCAGTTCTGTTGGAGTACACTGCAAAATCAAACTTGTTTTCATCCGTTCTTTTAATTATCATTCTTTCTGTACATTATCTGTGGTTGCTTAAGTAATTGTGTTAGTCCTGCTCTTTGCAGTTCTAATTCAGTATTATTTGGGGATTGTCGAAATGTTTACTGTGTCATCTTCGTTTCGTTTGCGCAGTTCAAATATTTTTAGTCAAATAACACTTAGCCTATAAGGTATTTCTCCCGCCTTCTTCGCATCCTTCGTGGTGTGGTGGTCTGCACGTTCGGTGTGTATTCCAGAGGCCCGCGATTCGATTCTCGGCAAAGGCGTTGCAAATTTTTCATTTCTCCTGCTTCCAAAAAATACTTAATGTCTCTAAAAGCAATTCATTCTTATATAATCTATATTCAATTTTCGGATTTTAAAAAATTTAATGTGCTCAATATATTCCATGAATTTAAATTTATGTATATTGTTAACGATATGTAAGAGTAAAGTGATATATGCCTTAATACTAGATAGGAAGTTAATGGAGATTCAAAGTTGTTCAGCAAAAGTAGAGGTGTTGAGAACCTTAAGATGTGTGTATTAAAAAAAAAAACTCAGCTAGATTTAATTTTAAAAGATTTTGTTAGAAAAGCTATAACATTTTTTAACATGAAAATTCTACTCGTACAGGATTCTGATATCAAAAGGGTATGATTTTTTTTTTTTTTTTTTTTTTTTTTAAGTTGGGCGACTTGGTGAATGTAACAGAATTGGAAATAGCAACAATCGTACTGAGGAGAATGAAGTGTTATGAGAGTTCAAGACTCTCATTTTATCTGGTTTACTTTCTTAGTCAAGCTTTGCAACCAACAAAAACTTATAAGCCTTTCGGAGTTTTACAGCGGTGTGAAATTAGTAGACTGCCACAATTGGCAGCTAAAACGGCCCTTACCCTATTAGGCATGGAGATAAACTGGGCTTTGAACAGAAACGGGCAACTCATTCCATGCTATGCCACACTTCATGAACCGCATTTCCTGGAGAGGGGTGGCGGGCTAATCTCTCAGCAACTCATGACCAGCTGTTTTCAGTGGGTGACAGATCTGGATATCGTGCAGGCCAGGGCAGCAATCGAATGTCCTGTGTATCGAGTCAGAACACGATGTGCAACATGTGGTCTTTTATTATCTTGTTGGAACATGGCTTTTGTGAGCCTCGAAGATAGGTCACAACCACTAAACGTAAGATGTCAAAAATGTATCCATCTGAGTTCAAATTACCATCGATTCGAACTAAAGATGTGCGTGTCGTGTATCCAATGGCTGCCCAAACTAGCACAACAGGTGCAAGGCCTCTCTGCCGATATCGAGTGCAAGCAGAGATGACATGCGGTCCCCTCGGATATTACAAACACGTGCGCGGCCATCAGAATACTGCATGTAGGACCGGGAATCGTTTGAAAAGGTGACATAGTGCCACTCCTGTACCCAGCTTTGTCGTTTGGCGCACCAGAGTCGCCGTCTTTCTCTATGCTGCATTGTCAAGGGAAGCCGAAGTAATGGTTATCCTGCTGATAGTCCACGCTACTGCAAATGTCGACGGACTTTACGAGCTGATACTGGGCGTGCTGCAAACACGCCTCTTTTCTAATTAATGGTCCGTGGTGTGGTCGTACGGTTTAGCAGAGCTGACCTCACAATATTGTCTGTCCTTTTTGACGTTAGTTATGAGAGGGCGTTGAGATCCTGCATGCTGTTTAGTATGATTTTCAGCAATCTATTAATTCCATATTCGCATGAAAGTGGTTGGATGTCGATCAGTGAGACCGGCGATATCGCGGAACGATAATCTACACTTTTGATGGGCAACGATCCTGCCTCTATCGAATTTCGAAACTTGCCGCTAAGCAATTCCTCTTCTTATTTAAGGTATAACACGATATTCTTAGCAAACTCCAACCTTACAAAGCACTTTCCGAATGAGAAATCCATTATACAACTTTTCTTTTATGCAGTGCTTCAAAAATTTAAAAAAAAAAAAAAAAAATAGCGTCTCTCATAGAGAATTTTTGCGTCATTCCATATAAGATAACTACTCATTGAGAGCATTCAGTATACTTTAAGAACGCACTTTCGTAGAAATTCAATTCAGATAAAAATAAAGCGAGATTTCATAACGCACTTTGGTAGAAGTTCAGCAAAAGATATTTATGTTTCAAATTTAATCAGAAAACTTGGCCATATAAAAGAAACGTTCTCACTACTGCGTCGTTCTAAATGCGCTGAAATACTAATCATTTACCATATCCCAACTTCTTCCTTTCATGTGATTTTGACGTTCGTCAGATCATTCCTTCCTGGTGTTGCAATTTTAATAGCCAGAAGTTTAAATAATATTCAGAATTTATTTTTTTGAACTTACATAAGATAAATAATATTTTTTATTTTATTGGAAAGGGAATAAATTGGATTATTCGAAGCGATCACAAACATATATATATATATATATGGTGTGTGTGTTTGTTATAGGAAATAATACCACCATTTGCGAAGTGACAGTAGAGTGAGTGAGTAAAGTTTCACTTACAAAATTATTCCAAATAGCTCCTTGTTTATCAGGTTCATCTGTGGTCAAACGGATGAATGTTTGCCCAAGTTGTGCGCTTCCTGTCAAGTCCCAGTAAACTAGATTGTCAGCACCTGCTAGAAATAAGAGATTTAAAATTTCTCATTATTTCAGTAATATACTTTCCACATTAATAGTAGAGGGAGATAGTTATAGATTCTAAATATTATGAAAAGAACTATAATAATACTATATTAAAGAATTTTCTTCTTTTCTTTATAAAAATAAAAGTTCCTTTAAGACAACTGATATAATACTTTCGACGATTAGAATACGGGGAAATTTTTAAAAAAATAGCGTCTCTCATAGAGAACTTTTGCGTCATTCCATCTAAGATAACTAACTACTCATTGACAGCATTCAGTATACTTTCTTAACGTACTTTCGTAGAAACTCAATTCAGATAAAAATAAAGCGAGATTTCATAACGCACTTTGGTAGAAATTCAGTAAAAGATATTTATGTTTCAAATTTAATCAGAAAACTTGGCCAAATAAAAGAAATGTTTTGCCACTCGTTACATATTTGTCTTTCAAATTTAATAAACAAACTCAAAAATTTAAAAGAAATGTGTCGCCACTGCTCGAATTAAAATGTTTTTATCTTCCATCGGGCAATGTTTTGTCTTTGAGCAAAACATAAGATATTTAGTTTTTCTTTCAAATTTATTCTGCTATTAATTAACAAACTAAGCAATTTAAAATCAATAAACACAGATTCATTTCAATTATTATTGATTACTAAACAGGCTAGCGAAATTACACTAGTTAGATTGATTATAATCATAAATATAAATCATGTATTATACATAAACAAAAGTGAATTTTTTTTTTCGTGTGCAGTTCATACAGGTCTACAATTTTATTCCGATCCTGATGAAGTTTTGCTTACTTGACTTGAGAATAAGAGGAAGATGGAAAAATGGTTTCGTACGTCATAATGGTTTCACCAATCCAACTACTGGAGGAAAACATTAGTCATGCATGAAACATGAAAAACATTGGTATGAACATGGAAAACCTGGGCTTACAAACTTGACGTCTATCGCGTCATGAAGAGAACTCATCCTAACACCTTTAAAGTTAACAAAATTTCAAAACTTCCTGCTCGAAACAGTTTTAGTTTCAGTTGAGTAGCAATTATGCTTAATGCTGTTCAGAGAATTCAAATCATATCGTTCGTTTTAGGGACCCTATATTTCTGGACGAAACGCTAAATTCCGTTTGTAAACTTAAACGCATAAAATAAAAAATCTGATGTGTACGCGACATGACTTCCTTGTACGAAATATTAAATTATATGCATTTTTTCTGCATTTCATTTAAAATTATTGAATTGAATTAAATCTACTTCGTCTATAGCGCATAAATTACAATAGAATAAATGAGCTTTTTAAAATTCACTATATTTATTTAGCATAGCGATACTCTGGGGCTAGGTTCACTTAACAGCGTTACATCTTATTTATTTTATAATTCAGAATGCAGAAAAAAATTCTATCATCGGGAAAATTAGCTAATCGTTGCTACATATTCTATTCAAATACTATAATGAATCTAAAACGATGTATAAAAGAAATTAAACAAATAAAAAATAAACAGTTTTTCACAGACGATTCAGCGTTACATACCTAATGCACATGCGCTACTCGTAAATATTCTCCTCAAAATTATTCATTAGAGATGTATTTCTCATTCAATTAATTCAAGTTTTACTTCGCGGAAAGGCAAAAATAATAAAAACACAAAATATCTTCTTAAAAGTTTAAAGATATAGAGAGACATAAAACACCAAATACAGTTAAAAAAACTTTTTAAAAAAATTTACAATTAAAATTACACATTCTACGCAAAAATAAAGAATTCGGGCAGCGGGCAAGACAGATTTTTCGCTGCACAAAAATGAAAGTTTACTTTTGGTCTCACTCGGCAAAATGATATTGAAGGAGTAGAAACTGATTTAATTTGTTGTGGACATTATGCCGAGTCAATGTATGGAATAATTTAATAACTTAAATGATAATTCCAGAATGGATTAAGCATAATTTAATTCGCAATAATAAAAGAAGACGTGACTTTGTTGTGGCGAAGCAAGCTTAGATTCTCTAGATTGGCAACAAATCCACTGTTCTGCTAAGTTTCAAATGTAAACAAATATGGCTGCTATGTTAAAAACATTAGGCTTAGCCGCACTTAAACAACTTTTAAATTGTTGATAATTCTACGAGTATTACATGCAGGTTAACTAAAGACATAAAAACCTTAACCGGAAGATAAGAACAACATAATTCAATCATTTTTAAAGCAAAAATGCACAATTTACAAATATATAAGAATAAAGTAACTGAGGTCACTGAGCCGAGTAACAGAGTAAACATATATATACATATATTTATATACTTTTGGTGCGGCCGACTGCAACCAAAATAGGAGATATAGCAGTCCCACATACAAAATTTCAACTTTCTGAGGCTATTCGTTTTTGAGTTATGCGTGATGCATACATGCATACGTACGTACATACATACGCCACGAAAAAATCTCTTCTGAAGCTATTTTAAATCAGTTTTGGCAAAAAGAGTTCTTTATTTTGTCCCTACGTACAGATGTCACGGAAAAACATCGTTAAATTGCATTCGATAGAGATCAAAATGGATATTTTCGTTGAAATGTGATACCGAAAATTTTTCGCAATTATAATACTTCCTTTACTTTGTACAAGGAAGTAAAAGGTGGAAATTTTGATTCCCACAAGTTCATTTTTAAGACAGCACAGATTGCTACATATGAAATAACTGTCTCCTGATTAGAAAATGCTTAGTTTGAAGAAATGCTCTGAATGTGAGATGTTTATAGTTTTATAAATGGAGCAACGTTTAGAATACAGAAGGGAGAATTAAGTAAAGGCAATTAAACTTTCTGTCAAAAATGAGTCTAATTATTTTAGTATGCCATTTAATGAGCTCACTTATTTATTTACTTATTTATTTTCGGCAGTGTAAGAATAGCTGATTCACCAACGAGTCTACAGCTATGCACCATCCAACGAGTGAATAATTATCTACTAACAATCAAAATCAGCCAAGAATTGAAATGACCGATTAGACAATATTTGCAAATCCATATAAATTATTATTGATTACTAACTGAGTCATCAGAATTACAGTAGTTGGACTGATTATAATCATAAATATATATTTAAATCATGTGAAGAAAAGTGTCCGTTTTTTGTTTTGTTTGTGAGTGTAATGCATACAGATCTACAGTTTTATTCCGATCTTGATGAAATTTTGCATACCAGACCTTCAAAACAAGAGCAAGATCACTGTCGGTATAAGATTTTCAAAAACTCCCACAAGGATTGCTTCATTCAGGACGTTTATATTAGAATGTTAAGCTCACTGTTAGATGGTGCCATGTTCATTGACTCTTTGGAACGTGTAGAACTGTCAGAGCAATGCAGAACATTTAATGCAGAATTTAAATACGAATTCAGTTTTTCACGAATATTTCAAAAATTGTGAAGAAATCGAACAAAGTGGATGGTGATTTTCCGAAAGCTCATTTCCGAAAACATAACTGATAACAAAACAAGTATTGAGCTTGGTACAATTTTTCTCAATTCACCTTGAACCAAAATAAGAAGAAATTCAATGCCTGCCTTAGGTTTCGAAAAACTACTAACATCCCAATCAATGAAGCCTCTTCACTCTGTATAAAGGCCAGGTAACGTCAGATACTTCAGCTACTCTCTTATATCAATTAACTGCATATGTTCCGAAATAGAAGACACCAAGGAATAAGAAACTATTATTTAAAGAATTATTAAACGAATTCTATGGATTACTTATCTGTTATTTTATACAGTTTATTCAAAAATTGCAAAATGAAAGAAGCAATATAGTGTTTTTTGTTTTAGCTAGGAATAGGCTAAAACGTTTTGAGACGAAATTATTCTGTACCAAGCTATATAATATACGGATGGCATTAGCGACATCTTTAATAATAATGCTCATAATCACTAACATGTGTTATAAATTTTAAATGCATTTAAAAATTTTATCAGTTAGATTTAAGATTTAGATTTTGCCGCCCAAAACTGTATAGTGGTTAGGGAAGCCTGACTGCGATACCAAAGGACCCGGGTTTGAATCCTGGAAAAAGCATGGATATAAAATTGTCTGTCCCTTCATAGGTAGTAACGGTGGCCGCCTATTAGGCTCCTCTACAATAAAATGGCCACCATTTCTGGCTTTAGGTGTGGCCAATGCCGTTATAAGCAAGTGTCTGCCACTGGCAAAAAAAAAGTTTAGATTTTTTAAAAGATATTTTATTGTTTTTAAATCATTTAATTATTAAGCAGTTATAATTTTAAAACTAAATTAAAGATCCTACGTCTTCCTCAATGGCAACAATTGTTAAATTGTGGCCAAGACGAATTCCATGGTAGCCCAGATAATTTGGAAAAATTCTTCGCAGAAATTTTTAACGCTAAAATACAAACTTAACGTTATAAAAGTAGGAAATGCCGAATCCACGCTGCTTATGATTACTGCCTGGTTTATAGGCAACGTACTTTTATCCGTATTCAATTAAACTGACTAACTAATTATCCTTGTTGCCAACGAATTATTTATACTGTGAATACGAATTTAATATGAAGGAAATTTAATCGTCAGTTTGATTGTTTGTACATGCACTCTTTTGTGACAAATTTATCGCCATTAGTTGATTCCAGAAGTTTTGCATGACTACTTTTGAAAATGTCAAAACCCTGAATAAAACAGGGAAAAGTGGCAATAAACTTAGCAAATCAGTTTTTGATTAATTAACCACCACCGATTAACGATGTTTCTTGACACAAAACAGGTGTACGACACGATTCTTTACATATGTATAAGGTAGACTTAACCTCCTTTTTTCTTTTTTACTTTATAATGTTCAGCAGGGCATGATACGTTTTTCTGCAACTATGCTGCATGTAACATCTTCACCTCAATTACAATGTGTAACTTTTTTCTTATTGGTATAATGTGTCTGCTGTTTTCTGTCTCAAATACAATGTGCATGTTCTTATCTTACAACGC